AGCGCACGACACCTGTCCGAGAACACGTGCGACTCTTGATGCTGGAAGAAAACAGGACTTAACACAGAGCCCATCAGGGCGGAACAGGCCCCGTGAATACTTTCAGCCAAAGCACGCGTGCGACGGAAATCGACCCGGTGAAGGTGGGCCGGTTGGCCACCTTCAAGCTCAGCTCCGCACACTCATGCCGAGCATGGCGCATAAACGCCCCCGGCGCCAACACCGCCATCCCATGCGAATCCTGTGAGCAACCACAGAGAAAACGGCAGACCAACCCGCAGCGTCGTAGTTGTGAGCCGACCAGTCCCAAACGCCATTGACAGCCCAACCATGCTTGGTCATCCAAACCCTCAGGGCAAAGACCGCCGAACCACGAAGATGATGAGACCAGCGCAACCCGAAGTAACTGGATCGCAGCAACTATGTCCAAGTGCAATGGCCACCCAATATGCTCTGGCATACAGCAAGGGCGGCAAACCGGGAGTTCCAGCCGCAGCAAACCTTGCTGACAGCAAACATGCGCACCAACACGGAGGACCCCCAGCAGCATCGTCGCACGCTTAGCAGCAGCGACCCGGCCAAGCTCCTTGGGCGACAGAGACTGTGAGACAAACGAGACAGAGCAGCCCAAAACGTCGCCGCAGTCAGTCACTTTGTTGCGGTCGGGAACCCGATCACGCAGACGGCGGGCTGCATGAGCATCGGCAGCGAAAAACTGGGCCTTACCCTCAGGCTCTTGGAGGCTAACCTGGCAACTCCAGACAGCCCAACAGTCCTGCTTGCGCAGCAGACTCCAGCGTAGGTGAGGAAAAACGTTCTGTCATCCATGAACCGCCGGAGTTGCAGCAGCACGAAACCCAAACCCAAGCTAATCCACAGCTGGAGCGTGAAAGGGCCCCGTAGCACACGCGGCAGGAAGAGGCGCAGGGTGAGTGCCCGACCAAGCCACGTATCTAGCCTTAGCGTAATCCACCCATAGCGATCTCCCCAAACACGCCTGAGAAGAGGACCCAACGCCAACCACAACTTGGTGGGGAATGGCCCAGCACAAAGGCCCAAACACGCCACCACACCACCGAATCGGGCGTGGCGGATGTGCCTATCCCAGAAGGGAACTGGTACCCTGTCGTAGTAGAGGTCGTTGATTTGGTCCCTGGATCTATTCCGGAGAGAGTCTAATATGCCAGTATGGAGGATTGGAGGATGGATTGTTTTTGGTAGCTTGTGTTGACTGTGAAGCCTTTTTATCAATGTACCATGAGTCGAATGACTGTACAAATGACTTGAAGGGCCTTGATCCATCATGTCAGCGGAGTGTGTGAATAGGTCAATGTGCAACAAAAAGCAACACAAAACAGACACAAATTTCTTTTGACCTTTCACACCGAAGTGTATGATTGGCTTCTTGGCCTTACGTGCCGTAGCCATACTTGAAAGTGCCGTAGCCATGTGTTGTTACAATGATTCATCCAATTTTGGCGCGGATGATTTGTCATGTGAGCAAAATGGAAAACAGTCTGTACTGGTTCTGTGAGATACCTAGATGTACCGAAAAGGTGATGCACAACGCTATGTACATGCGGGACGGATGTGAAACTATTGATCTCTCACTGAATAGTCTTGCTGGCGGTGAGGATCAATCTGGTTGAAGTTCGCAGTGCCGATCGTGGGAGTCTTCTCAGTCGGTCGGATAAGTGCCAAAGGTGGCTGCTTCATCAGGTGATCAGCGGTACCACCGACGGCTGCTGTCGGATTGCCTGCCATAGTCTCCATAATCATTCCAGGTCGAGCCGCCATAGTCTTTCCATTGCTTTGGGTTGCCCCAGCACTGCTTGTTGTACTCTTTGTGCTGAGTCCAGGATTGCTTCTTCTTGAGGTGCTCCTTGGATCTCTCAAAGTTGCGTTGCCTGGCGGCAGATCTGCTGCGGATGTAGACCATCAGCGGACTGTGCGAGTCGGAATCTTATGAGCCATTCATGAACATATCGTTGTTCACGTGCTTGAAGCGTTCCGCGGATGAGACTTGATAGTCGAAAATGGCAGACGTCGGATCGCTCCGCATGGCTTCCAGTTGTTCATCCTTCATGGCGTTCATCTCTTCCTTCCGGAAAACCTGCTGGATATTCGTTTTGCCCCATCCAAACACGAATGTCATCATCACATCTGGGAATGTTCGATCATACCCTGATCCAGCCTTCATGTGTAGGTGCACGATGTGATGACGGACGATGGACTTTAGGGCGCATGAAGTCTCCATTACATACTCCATTCTGTCCACGTGGCAGATTCTCCGTTTCATTCCACAATCTCTGCTATGCCTTCATGAGGATATTCATGAGACCGTTGGCCGGATTGAAGACGTGCTGGAGTCTGCTGTAGGTATTCGCGGATTTGTTGGCGTCTCCGGTGATCGCATCGCATTGGTACAATGTCACGAGTGGCATGATTTCGTTCTGAAAATCTTCCCGTGCTGCTCCATGGCTGATTGATGGATGAATGTGGAAAACTCCAATGGTAGCAAACGGGAGGTCTGCCCTCGTTACGTGGCGGCTGTCAAACTCGAGGAGTGATTTGTTGGATGATTTTGGGAGCATACCACGATACTCATCACTCTGCTCGATGTGGAGAACGACAATCACTTTGTTACGTCCGTGTCCTTGGACAGTGTTGCGTGGTGGCAATCTCGGTCCGATGTACTTCTTGGATTCAGTAAACATGGATGGTCCCGTAGTTGCCAAGCAGTCCGAGGTCGGAATGTCGTATTCAGGATCAGTGCAATTTTCCCCGGTTCCGAAGACATCCCGAATGTGGTTCCCCAATTCTGACTCTTTGTGGACATGTGTCTTGCCAATA